ACCCAGGGACACAAGATGCCAGAAACTACAAAATAAACAGAACCCAAACCGTGACACCCTGCCTCGATTAGGTGAGGTGCGGCCTTCTGCAGAAGGGATGTATTATTCCTGCAACATGGCATCAAATTACCTTTTTGTGGATGACATAATCAAAAAAAATCAAAAAAATCAAATCACTATTTGGTGATTTTCAAGTTTAGACTTCTGGAGAAAGACAAACTTCCATCCATCCATCCATTGTCAAACCGCTTATCCTGCACACAGGGTCGCGGGGGGGCTGGAGTCCATCCCAGCCAACTTCGGGCGATAGACAGGGTTCATCCTGGACTGGTCGCCAGCCAATCGCAGGGCAACACAGAGACACACAACCATTCACACTCACATTCACACAACTACGGGCAATTTAAAGTCCCCAATTAACCTGATCCCCAGAGCATGTCTTTGGACTGTGGGAGGAAGCCGGAGAACCCGGAGAGAACCCACGCAGACACGGGGAGAACATGCAGACTCCACACAGAAAGGCCACTGGGCGGAATCAAACCCAGGACCTTCTTGCTGTGAGGCGACAGTGCTAATCACCACGCCACCGTGGCGCCCTCAAGAACCTGCACCTCCCAGTGTATTTAAGCCCCGTGTGTCATGTGTCCTTTGTCGAGTCATTGAATGTTCAATCCTGAATGTCTTACGTTGAGTGTCTTGCCTGTTCCCTGTTCCCGTCTGCGGTTGGCCCTTTTTGGAATTATATGTGAAGCATCATAATGAGCACAGAATTAATATTTTTGGAATTTGGTTCTGGCACTTTTTTGGGGGGGGGTTTAAGTAATTAAAAGCTTTTTAATCTCATTGGGTGAAGTTATGGACCAATGAAGTTGGAAAAAATCAAACTAGAGTTTTCGTGCATTTACCTGTCTTTGGCCTGCCATCCATTTGTCGATTTTGTCTTTTTTTTTTTACCTAAGGAATGTTCTCAATTCTGGCCAATATTTGTTATTCATGATGATAGTGTAGGCCTTAAAGTGATTTTCAAAAAATTATAGCACAACCTATTGGCATAGGGAAATGCAAATGTTTTACACTTTGATGTCCTACTCCTAGCCATTTAATCTGATAAGACTTATTTTCACAAATTTGAGGTTGAAGACTATGGTGATAATTCGCCATAAATATTGTTTTTGAAAGACTGAAAAATGGTCACATGAAAGATCAAGCTGAAAAGTTAGGTCAGTGTCCTAGGTGACAAGTGCTGATGGGGAGTTTTTTGCTCAAAAGAGGTGAAAATATTTGGACATATGTATAACGGGAAGACTTTAAAAAAGTATCCTGGAACTAGAATGAAAAAAGTCATAATTTTGTCATCTGGTGAGTATATCTGGGGTCAGCATGTGGATGTCCTGGGTTCAAATCCCATACTAGAATTTTTTGTCCGTCTGTCGGGCACCCTCCCCCTTCGTCACAGAAGGGAAGGCTAAGGACCGTTCATCACGGCTCGCAGCTCTGATTCTTCTTAATTCTTCATTTTGAGGCAAGCCCATCTATGTATAGAGGTTTGTTCACATGTCGGACCCAAAATAATTGATGCAGGCTCCTGGCAAAATGCTCCTTTAGCAGATTTCTAACCACTAAATACATGGTCTGCAATACAATTAATACTAAAATGTGGTATAACTGTTTATTAATTCAACTTAGAAATTCTTCAGATTCAAAAATGTATATCATGTTGCTGTATTTTAAACTGTTATATCAATTTGACAAGTATCGGGTGATCATTGATACTCTTTGAAGCCACCTCAAGTCAGTGTGAAACATCAGTTTCAAAAGTGCTTATGAGACCGTTTAAGCATGTAGTCTTTGCTTTTACTTAAGTTAAGTTACAAATTTTACTTAATTTTAGTTCAAACCTAAAAACTAACTATTTTTTAGGTTTGAGAAGCTGACTACTGTGACCAACATCTTGCTGGTCAACCTGGTGATGTCCTCCTTGATCTTCATGAGCAGTCTCCCCTTCATGGGAGTCTACTTGCAGCTCTCCAACTGGATCTTCGGCAATGTCATATGCGAGGTTCATGGCACCGTGTACTATCTGGGCTCCTACAGCTCCGTCCTGCTTCTAACCCTTTTGACCTTCGATCGACACCTTGCAGTTGTTCACTCCCTGACCGCGTCGCGATTGAGAAGTCAAAGGTATGCGGCAGTATCCTGCGCGGTGGTGTGGTTGGTCAGCTGCCTGGCATGCATCAAGCCCATGATTCTACACAAGGCGTTTGTTGATTTCGAGAACACAACGTACTGTCAGGAGTATCCTAATGAAATACCTGGTATAGAAGGGAAGCTGCTGAGTGACTTTGGATTCTACATTCTTCTTATCCTTTTCTTGATCGTTCCTCTTGCTGTTACCATCTACTGCCATGTCAGGATTGCTATCACTGTCGTTTCATCCAAGATCGTCACCAAATTCAAGACAGTCAGGTTGATATTTGTCATTGTACTGCTATTTTTCACAAGCTGGACCCCATTTAACATTCTAATGCTGATGAATGATGAAGACGCTGACTGTGAAACAAGGCAGAAAATGGATTATGCTCTTGAAGTCACTCGTGTCATGGCCTACGCTTACTTTTGTATCAGTCCCGTCTTTTACACATTTGTTGGGAAAAAGTTTCAGAAGTATTTCCGACAGTTGCGGGTAAAAACTTTCCCAGGGTTTAAGAGGGATGTTTCTATCTGTCTGCAGAATAGGAGCAAGATGTCTACACATAGCACACAAAATTAGCTCTAGGAATCAGAAGCCTTTTGTTCTTAAGGACCTCTCTGTGGCCAATATTAGGAATTTAAGCAAAAGAGCAACGTTAGAAATGATAATATCTGATCATAACTATTTTTAGAATTATAGTTTGTGTTCTTAGATATTATATTAGTATGTTATAAATAACTAATATGAACACATTTCATAAGGCCTTTAATTACTGTACACATGAAATCCAGCCATAATGTAATGTTCAGCCTGCTAGAAGGACGCTTAAACTTTCCGCTATGGATTTCTGCCATATTTTCTTCCAATGAAGGGTTTTAGCAAAAGAACGGATGAAGGAAAGCACTGACAGGCAATTGTTCTGATTTCTCATCATAAAATGTTATGAACTATGATGATTTAAGATATCTTATGTAGAGTGTATTAGCTATTGGATGAGGATTTTTTTATGTTATGTTTACATGAAGAAGCTGTAGGCCAAAGGTTTATTCATTGAATGTGTTGTAATGTAGAAATAACAAGGGACAGTCCGGAGAGGGAGATTTCTGGTTCGGTTCCAGATTGGGTGGGAGAGAAATGTCACCAATAACAACGTGGGAGGAGCTACGTTTGAATGTGCAGCCAATCACATCCGGCTGTGAAATGATGGACCCACCACTAGAGATTTGAATCTAGTCATTAGGGTCACCAGATACACACCTGTCTCAAGAGTAAAGGAGGAATCATTGTTGTGCCATTGCCAAGCGGTATTTAATGTGCGCCGCCTCATATGTGAAAATACATTGCAGCTACATCGGGTACAGAGGGACCACATGGACAACTTTAAATGATCAGATCGAGCCGATTGTGTATATCCTGAAGGTTCCATTTACAATGGAGCTTATCAGGTCCGAAAGTAAACTCATTTAACTGTACTAAATGTGCTTATGTGACGCTTTATCGTCCTTTGGAACCTACACATGTCTGCTTGTCACTATAATTGCTCTGATTATTTCATTTGAATGCAAATATTTTGCTGTATATTAATACGTTGAGAATCAATCATGTCCTTTGTTAAACAGTTTTTGAATTTTGTAAAAACTTTGATTCATGTCTATTCAATTGTTGGATTACAGTATATGAGGCAAATTTTTACATGGAAAAGGAGTCAAACTTTGTTGGTTGGTTTTTCTTTGAGTTGGCTCCTGCATTAAGCGGAGCAAATCCGTGGTGTTTGGTTGAATTAAACCTTTGAAATAATAGACTACATGTTTCTGTTTTTAGCATAACGTCAACTTCTTTGTTGAGGACACACATTTTAGAAAACACAGTGACTAAAGGGCTGTAGTAGAAAGTCATTTTCATGTTTCATGGTCATGGTGAAAAGAGGAAGTTGCACAGTTTACCACATGAAAGTGAGAATTGTTCTCGAGTCATTGACATTGCTTCATCTATTTTCAACATACAACCTACAACACTATTTTTAGTTGTAATTCTAAAGAATTTGTTCATCCATTTCAAAAGTACATTGTAGTTTTAAGATTTCAAAGGTTTAAAGGACGGGATAATATACCAAGACAGGTTAGTTTATCATTTCACCATTGATGGTTTAAACGCCATAATTGTATAGTGATTGTGTTATGTCTCTGGCACATCCGCTATCAGATGAACTCTGCTTCACGCCTAATTCGTCCTTCTCTGTCAATGCTATATATTATTATATTGTACCTTGTGATAAATGATATCCCACACTTAAATTCCTGCTATTATTTCCACTGAAAGAACAAATCAAGCTGTCATAATAGTCTTCCATATTGTCTTCCCTCAATTTTCTTTCAGTTTGTTCTGTTGAGGTCAGGTTAAATTTAGTCTGACAGTTATATATATATATATATATATATATATATATATATATATATATATATATATAATCCCAGTAATTATGTTGAGAATTGCAGGTTTGCAACTGAGTGCAACCTGCATATGAACAACAAGCTACCAGCTCACTGTTCATATCAAAACACATGCAAAAGTGCAACCAGAAAAATGTATTGCAAGTAAGACGTTTGGGAAATGTGGCAAAAGGTTTTTTTCAGGGGAAAAAAAAGGAAACATTTCTTACATTCTGAATATTTCATAACAACTTGGGACTAACTCTTTTATGACTGATAGCAAGATACTTTGATAGGCACATTGTGGGAAAGGAAGTAAAGAATTACACTTACTTAGACTTACTAAGACAAGGTAAGTGCACTATAGCAAGACGATGACCAGCATGGATATGATTTGTTTGGGGGATCTGGCCAGGTACATTCTTATAGAGTCACTTTTAGAATGTTTCTACCTCCCTCTTTCACATAGTTGTGCTGTTAAATAACTAGTAAGCCCCGCAGCAACACGTGTACGGTGTACGGTGATGATGCTTTTGATCAAGAGTATATTTGCTGTATGTAAACTTTATCCTCTCAAATAGTTCATCTGAGGGATTTTAAGCACGTTGGTGCATCTCAGGTCGGACGGCACATAACAAGTCAACGGATCAGGAAGACAAATTACTGGCTAAACACAAATCAGTATACTGCATTATTTTTATGATTAGACTGCATTATTGCAGCTGGGCAGCTGTTACATTTACAGTTACTTTGAATTGTTTTAAGCAATGTTCTACTTTTTAATGGGATTGATTGAATTATTTTAAGCTCTACATGTAATGTAGTGTTTGCAATAGCACTTTACGGATATAACATTATATAGGAGAAACATGACCAAATCACTTATGTTGACACTCTCTTGGATAAATGAATAAAAAAATAAAATAATGAAATGTCACCATTTAACATATTATGGTTGACTACTTTTATTTACTAAAAACCTCTATATTGTAACAAACTAATGAGCTGTTTTCACTGCAAAGATTCATTCAAATTAACGACAGACCAGCTTGTTTCAATGCTCTAGCTTTTTATTAATGCATAAAGAAAGAAAGAATATGTGTAGAATATATGTAAGGTTGTGCTAGAAGCATTTTTTCCCTCAACCACTCTTATTGAGGCTCAAGGCCTCAAACACCGTCCAGCTCGTGTCACTTGTCATATCGTTCCTTATGTAGCGTTACAGCGACAGAAAAGAAAAGTATAGATGTGAAATACAATCAGATGTGTTTGAAAGCTTGCACCCCCTTTTTCCTAATCAAGGGGCACCTGAGGCTTCACTGCCAGTGAAGGGATCAGGTTCACTTGGCACAAATAGATGGAAGTTTAGTCCAGCACTGCACGTCATCCCAGGCCTTCGCATCTGCCAGTACACAAACAAGAAGGGAAGTTAGTGAATTGAACACAAACCAATCAAACTTGTCAAAACTACTAAACAGCACCAACACCAGTATAAAGTGGATGTAATGGCTCAACACCTACAAGAAACACTGTGTTCTTTTACCTCCAAAATTCATTTGAATGCAATGCTGCTGACCCTCCCCGTTGTTAGGCTCTCCATTGGCCCAAATCGTGTAGTCAAATCTTGTCCCATCACTCCAGAACCATTGATTCTCCTGGAGGAAAACATTTGAGTTAGTATGAAATAATATATAATACAAGGTGATTAAAGAAAAAAAATGTAGATATGAGTAGATATTGCATGAATAAAAGGAATTCAAATGTTAAACAGAATGAGTGCAATATTTGTAAGTAATGGTGAATAAAATACCTCTTGTGCATCAGAGCCTCCAATCCATGTGTTTGGATGATTGAAACTGGAGCTCATGATGGCTGTCTGAATACCATGGTACTCCAGGACGCTGTGAACGGATGCAAGGTGTCCACCCAGAGAAAGACAGTTTTTCTACAGAGAGGAGACAGACCGATGTAATGGGGAGGTTTTGAACCAATTTGAACCAAATAATTTAAAATCAGTGATACATTATGAGTAGTGATGGGCAAAGATAAAAAAAATGTAAATGTGATTAACAGCGATTAATCGCAATATGCGCAAAATCCAATAATACATTATAAATGTGTATTGCACGGTTCTATTTTAAAGTAACAGTATCAGAACAATATAAGAGACACTCTCGGAGATCCTTTTCTTTTGAACAGGTACCAGAAGAAAAATTATTCTTTTATCAAGGATCAACATAATGCAGAATATGTTCAGTAGTACGAGTCCCTGTTAGTGAGGTAAAGTGCTCTAGCATAAAAATGACATTTGAGTCAAATAAAAAAGCAACTTGTTTGATGCTGGTTGAGCAGTTACACAATGAGACAATTGACTTTTAATCTCCTCTTTTTGATCCGTTCCTCCGACTTTACATTTTCTTACTCCTCTGCACCGAGCCAGCTGCTAAGACACACAAGGTCATTTACGTTTCCAGATGATGAAGAACCTCTCTTCTTCTAAACAGTACGACCAGCAAGAGGGAACCAGCTTCCTCAGGTGCAGATGTTGTCCTTCAGACTGCTGTGAGTCTGCATGTCCTCAGTGAGAGAAGCAGCCGGTGCTCATTGTGACGACGTCACTGCGTTTCAACTCCTGTGTTCTCCTCACGGCGTGCGTGATGCTGGAGGTCCGTACGCGCCTCAATCGTTTCTGTTCTAAGGACACTTTATTCCTCATGTGTTGGTTTAAACATGCTGGTAACCCATGATGTTGTCAGCGTTAATGGATTGCTTCGTTAACTCATTTATAATGTGTTAACGCGCCCAACCCTTATTTTGAGATGAGTTTATTCATTTTTCTACATCTCAATGTAGTTGGTTTCCAAAATTTGTGTCATATTTAGTGTTAAAAGACTAACTAGATATGTAAACAGAGAGAGTCTGAGTACAGCGTATACATATATTTTGGTAGACTTCCATTTCTGTTCAAATAAAAGTGCAGACTTTACCGAAGTTAAGTAGCAGTAAAGATTCTGAGAGCGATCCAAGTTAGTTGGCTGCAACTTCATGTCTGTTTGTAATATTTACAAAAAACTACAGTCAACTGCAAACATTTTATCAAAGTCACCAGCATTACCTCAGCTTTAGCCCAAGTCATCGCTCTTGGAATGAAGCGGAAACAGCGACTGTTATAGCGAGTCCAACCGTGGGAACACAATAAAGACCGCTTGACCAGATGTCGCTCTGCAGAGAGAAATAAAGTTTAATGTGGAGTTTTCTGTATAACTTTTATATTACTGTATTAAACTGATTTTGATGGTGGGTAAATGTCATTACGCAATGCAAAACAAAGGATTATGTCCCGACACAACAGTGAATCCAAATATCTCAGTGAAAGCTACTCACCATTGGGTTCTTCTCCAGACATTTCCTCTGGGAGAGCTGTGAAGTTATTGACCTGGATTATTGATATTCAATGACAACAAATGGATACGTACCAGTTACTACATCTAATACTCACCAGCAGCTCCAGTCAGAGCCATGATGGCACACAGAAGGGCAGTCACAGTCAGCGTCTTCATGGTGAAGGCAAAGAGATGATGCAGATGCTGGAGATGAAGACCACCTGTAATACAAAGACAGATATGATTACTCATACTTGTGAAGAGGACAGAGAAACATACCAACAGTCAGACCTTAAAGACAAAG